GCAGGAACCCATGGCCTGGGCATGTAGGATGGAATTGAAAGCCAGAACTCAGCTGGAGTTAAAACTGGCAAGGCCTGTGACAGATATCCAGAACGGTTTCTTTAAGCACAGTAGCAGCAGCAAAAGAACTAAGAAAAATGTGGGACTGCTGCTCAGTGGGGCAGGGCCTTAGTAGCAAAGGACATGAGGTGCATGAGGCGCAAATTACTGAGGTAGCCAGTATCTTCTTTACCTTAGTTTTTACCGGTACGGTCTGCCCTCTGGCTGCCCAGGTCCCTGAGCCAAGTGGTAATCTTAGGGCGTGAAGCATTACCTGTACTAAAAGGTGACTGAATTAAGAGACCATTTAAGCAAATTTGACATACTGAAGTCCATGGGACCACATGAGATGGACCAGAGGGAGCTGGCTGATTGAGGGAGAGTTGGCCTTGCAATGGTATCTCCAAAAGGTAGCAGCAGTCGGTGTTCCTGATGCCTGGAAAAAGGCAGTTGTCATGCCCATAATTAGGACAGGCAGAACTAGAGGCTGGCCAGTGTAGCCTCAGTCCCTGGGAAGACCATGGAGCAAATCTACCTGGAAACCACCTGCAGCCCCATGACAGTCAAGGTGATTAGGAACAACCAGCATGGGTTTACTGAGGGCAAATCGTGCCTTCACAGCCTCATTGCCTTTTACAATGAGATACCCAGCTTTGTGGACCTTCATTTTAGCAAAGCTTTCAACGTGGGCTGCCATAATACCATGATAGTGAAGCTTGTGAGGTGTGGTTTGGATAGGTAGACTAGGAGGTGGGTTGTAAAATTGGCTGGCCTGCTGAGCTCGTGGATCAATATCAAGGCCAGTAATGGTTAATACCTTCATTAATGGCCTAGATGACGGAGCAAAATTAACTCTCTAAATTCACAATGACATCAAATTGGAGGGAACCACTGATAGTCTGAAGGGTAGGGCTGCTGGTGAGGGACCTTGATAAATTGGGGAAATGAGCTGAAAGAAACCTCCTGGAAATTCAACAAAGGCAACTGCCAAGTTCTGCACCTGTGTTGGAAATACCTCATGCAGTTGAACAAACTGGAGACTACTCATAGGAAAGCAGCTTGGAAGAAGATGTCCTGTGATGCTGGTAGACTGAAAGTTGAATGTGAGTCAGCAGTGCTCTCTTGTGGTGGGAGAACCCAGTGCCTACTGGGCTATATTGGCAACAGTTCAGCCAAGCGGTTTGAGAGAAGTGATTCTTCCCAAATATCGGGCATTGTGAGACCAAACATGGAGTATTGTGTCCAGTTTTGGGCTCCCTGATATATGAATGACACTGGCATATTGGAGAAAGTCTACTGAACGGCCACCAAGATGGGTAGGGGCCTGTAACATCTGATGTAGAAGGGGAAGCTTTACAAAGAGTGGGTTACCTTGAAATCCTATTGCTTTCTTCTGCTGCCTAATGAGAGGATGTAGAAAAGATGAAGCCAGCCTCTTCTCATTAGCACAGTGATAAGATGAGAGGCAACAGATACAAGCTGCAACAAGGGAAATTCTGTTGAAATATTAGAGAAAAAAAAATGTTCGCAGCGAGGGTAGTCAAATCCTGAAAAAGGGGCCCAGGGAGATTGTGGAATCTTTTATTCTCCATCTTTGGAGGTCTGTCAAAACACAAGAAGGTCTTGATCTGAGTTCTCCCCCTGTCCCTTCAAAGCAGGGCTAATGGACAGGATGATTTCCAGAAACCACTTTCAATCTAATTTTTGCTGTAGTTAAATCTCCCCTTTATCTGCCAGCGTTTCATTTTCTTCTTACAGCATCTGACTTGTACTTCTTAAAAGAATTAGCAAATATATGCAGGACTTGTAAGTAACTTCTACCACAAATCGTATTGGGATATGATGGCACCGTGAAGAGTGGCTACTGGAGATGAGAAAGGAACTGATGGTAGAAGGAAACGCTCAAGAGAATGGATGGGTGACTTAGAAGCAATTTGATCAGGAAGAGGACAGAGCAAGGGGATCCAGGAAAGAAAGCAAAAAGAGGAGGCATAGCATTTTCCCTGTACTAAAACTCTTATTTCCTCTTTATATTTTTAAAGCCTTTGGACAAACTACTCTTTCTTGCCTTCTCTTCTTCTCTCTTCTTTTGTTCCCATGGGTGGTAGTAGTTTGTGCTTCTAAATGTATAAAAATACTGGGATTTAATATTGCTTTGAGAAATAAAAAGGTGTGGGATAAAGGATTGTGCCAGTGCTTATTTGCTAACTTAAATAAAAGCTTTCAGAAATATTTCTGATCTGTTTTGGTAAAGGCAGAATTCAGTCTAGCCCTTAGTATTTGTTTGAAACTAAGGGAATTTAAACTTCAAAATTAAAACTCAAGAGGCTCAACTTTGGAAACCTGGTGGATTTTGAAGTTATCTTGGTGCAGCTTTAACTGCATCAGGTTTTTTTGTTAGTTTATGGAAGTCATATATGGAGCCTTTCTAGTATAGAGTATTGTTCCAGCTTTGTTGAAGTACTTTATATTTGAATGTAAAACTTCACCTACATCTAATCATATCTAATTATTTCTTCACAGCCTGAAACTACGCTCTCTTCGAGTGAATGTTGGACAACTGCTGGCTACGATCATGCCTGATCTAGACTTGCAGCAAGTCAATTACGATATTGATGTAGTAGATGAAATTTTAGGACAAGTTGTAGAACAAATGCATGAAATCAGTAGTACTTAATATCTTAAGATTTTAGCAGACTTTTATTTGATCTTCCATTATAACCTTTGTGTAGGTTCAAAATTGTATATACTGCTTCTTCACTTTATATATTTGACATAGTTTGATCACTAAGTGTATATACTCTACGCGTTTAGATGTTCCCACAGATGCAGTGGGTGTTATCTTCACTTCCTCTTAAAGGAACACTGTCAATATTGACCAACCCTGATGTACTTAATTAAGGATTTTGCTTTTAAAATGTATTTGTAATTAAATTTGCAACTATTTTTATTATTAGGAATCTTAATACTTTTCTACAAAAGCTTTTCGTTGATGTTTGATCTTACGTAAGCATTAATATTTGCAATTATTTCCTCTTCTAAAATCTTAAGTAGTGGAATATATAAAAAAATGCAAAAAAAACCCACAACACCTTCCTTGATTTCCTTCTCAGATCAAACCTTAGTAGTGTTGTTGTATACTACAGTATTGTTTCATTGCTATCAGCAATGTCGTATGTTGCATTAATGGGATAGAAACATAACGAGTAAATGAAAATTTTGGGCACGTGGGTAGTACTTGTGCTTTACTACCAAAAGCAGAAAAGTTCTTCAAGGGTTTTATCCTAAAAGCCGATGATCTTTGAATCCCTTTTGGAATTTTTGATGGCACTAAAGAACATTATCTGTACATAGTTTTGCAGCATAAACAACTCCATAGGATGTGGCAAGGATATTTCAGCCTTTTCAGTCATGAAAACCACATGCCTGTTTGTGTCCTGCCCTTGCTACTTGATCGTTGTTTCCTACATCCAAGAACCAAGCGCGGTCAGAGGGGTCTTCAGTTCTACCCTCTAGATCCCGTTTGAATGCAGCAGTGCTGGTTCACCGGTCCAGGTGTGTACTAGTACATGGCTTCAATGGTCTGATTTCACACACAGCTCTCACCTGCTTTTTTCCGAGTCAAAGGCAGCCAGTGGGATGGGAAGGATCCTGGTGGACCATTGGAGAGAACAAACTGGGGAGGCAGGATTCCTGGGCAACCTCTGCTCTGCATCAAACACCACCTCTTGAGACCTGAGGACCTTTTTTCAGGGAAGCCCAGTGCTGAGCAGGATTGACAGAGAGGTTCTGTGATGTGTACAAATGCTTATATATATTATCTCAAAATAACCAAATGGTTGCAGTATCAAAGATGCGGTCTACCTTGGAGTCTTTCAGGCTGAGACGTGAGGGTGCCGAGATTCGTCTCTGAAAGTTACCTTCCTATCGGAATGTACCGTGCTGAGTATGAATGCATCGGACTACTAAGTCCTTGATTAACTAGTTGAATCGCAGTACTTTGGAAAGGCAGCGTGTTTCCTTATCTGTGGTGTTGACTACTACAGACTGAGCTAAAGCTGAAAATGTTCAAATATAACTTGTTTGTGCTATCTTGAAGTTTAGATATCTTGTATTATAGGCAAGATAGGGGAGTCCCTCTTCCCCCACCCTTTTTTTTTTGCCCCATAAATGTTTTATAGTGACTCCTAAGCCACTAATTCTATGCTGTAATGCTCATGCAAAAACTTCCTAGAAGAAAAGGTACCGACAAAAATCGTTACAATGGTGACAGTATTCTCAGCTAATTGCATGTTTTTCTTCTGAAGTCATCAGGAATGAGAAGAGAGGTGGCAAAGATAGCAAATCCACCTTTTATTCTGTGGTGGTATTTGTCATCCAAACAGTGATCAAGAAAAATGGTTGTTGCTTTTAAGTAATTCTTTAAAAAATAAAACTTAAAGAAAAAAATCATGAAATAGCATTCAATATATTCATTCCTGGGAAGTGTCTTTTTTTCATAAAGCCAGCATTTTTGGCTTTTGCACTGCTACTGTCCTGATTTAATTAGATTATGTTCCTCTTAGTTGTACTTCAGTCAGTTTCTTTCGGTGGACTGTATTTCAATCTTAAGATGCTAGCTATTCTAATATGCCAATAGGGATAATGCAGTACCGTTGTACTTTATAATGGATAAATTGAATGTTTGATTTCTGAAGAGGTGGCTGTAATATAACTGTTTGTATGACTTTTTAAAAGTTTATATTTTCCATTTATCGGTGTGTAGTTTTCCATTTCTTAATCATTATTTATTATGTTTCATCAGACTCTGTAGTTGAATTTCTAATAGACAACTGGTAAAGTATAGCATATGTCTATATTAAAAATGGGAAATTTACACTTTGGAGAACAGTGGACTAATGGAAATGGGTTTTATTTACTTGTTAAAATGTATTTTTTGTAAAAAATAAAAAAAACTATATAAATCTGAGTTTGCTGGATCAAAACTTGTATGTGATCAAAGGCAATGTTTTTGTTTATAAATAAATACTATGCAGAATGCCTAATGTTTCTGGCTTATTTTAGTATTCGGTCTTACAAGAAAGCTGGCTTGGTCTAGTTTTGAGCAGAAGACTTGGGCATGCCGGCATGCCTTCAGAGCAGGTAGGCATCCTAACTGAGCCTCAGTCCAGCTGACCGGCTGTGCTGCCTCAGGCAGCCGGACTTGTTCGGGGAATTTTGTTACCCAATTACAAGACTGTTACTGTAATAGGATTTGGGACAAAACCGTTTGTCAAGGCCTTGTGAGAGAGCTGTGGTCTTTGTGGTTCTGCAGCAGAAGTGACAGGAAGGCAAAGGTAGGAGTTGGGGAGGTGGGACCACCTACCTCTTCGGGTGATGGCAAGTGCTTGGATCAGCTCAGGGCACCTCTCCTAGTGAAATTTTACCCTTGGGCTAGCTCAGCACTTCCTCAGCATGACAGACTCAAGTCCTTTCGGATTTTATTTTTTTTTTTGTGTGGCCAAGGCAGGCTGTGCTTCCCTGGCAAGTACTTGATTGTCTAATACAGACGACTAATAAAGAGACGGCAGTGTGCAAGGTATTGTGGAAAGGTTTGCACCTGGTATGGAAGTGTTCTGGATATGGAAAAAGCAGTGCTGTTATAATCCGGAGTGTGTGTTAACCAAATTTCGAGGAAGTTCCTGGTTTTAATACATGGGTGTTACTTCCATGCTTTCTGCTGTGTGAGTGACATTTCAGATCGAGCACAGGGACTTGCACTGTCCTGGCTTTCCTACCTGTATGGAAATCCTTGTTGCCCTCTGATTAGAAGTCCTCTTTCTTTTTTAAAAATTAAATTTAAAAAAATCTAATCTATACAGTAAATCTTCATTTGTTCTCTTCTGCTTTCTGACCTGCTGTGTTAGCAGAATAACTGCTGAGGCCTTCAGGGCGCAAGTTTTGGCTTTAACCACACAGCCAGTGGTTCTTTGTCTGTTGGGAAAAAGGTGAGAAGCAGCGTAGCCAAAGGTGCTGTGGGAAGAAGGAAAAGTAGACTCCAATTTCTAAGGATGCAATTATTATTTCAAATGGAACGGTTTGTGTAGGATCATTTTATGTTAGCAATGAGCTGGAGGACATTTTGAGAATTATAAGATGTGGGAAAAATGCAGAGGGATACAAATAAACAAGTTTGTGGAACAGGGAGCAGATAAAATTGAGGAACAAAATCATAGTAACAAGGTGAGACAAAGAGCTTGTAGACAAAGAACTTGTGTTTAATTGATTTAAAAACTACACATAGCATAAACACCTATCAGAATCCTTGTTAAGGAGCGTGATAATTGCGTGAACAGTACATGTAACCAATTAGAGCTTGAACAGGCACGTGTACGGAAGTAGAAAACGTAATATAAGATGCAGCTTTGAGCATAATAAACGACTTCTCTGATCATCATATTGGTGTGCTGAGTTGTCTGTGCCTCGCATGAGAAAGACCCCATAGGTTTGTGTTTGAAATAAAGGGGAATTTGGGGGATTGGTTGTAAAAACATATCAAGTACAGCTGTTAGCGGGAAACTGTAGCCAAGACAACTCTCCAAACCAAATGATAGTTTAGAAAGCCAATCGGTTTATTGCAGCGCTGGGTGCATGGGGGATCTCGCCTCCTAGCATGCACACCGAGCCACGTGAAGATACATATTACATAGAATCACAGAATCATTATGGT